TGGTAGATATACTGCATTTTGAGATTTGTCTCCAGCTGTCCTGGTCAAACTCTCTGCCTCCGGACAGAGAGGTTCCCCCGACAAGTCGAAGGGCAGTATCTCGTTTCCGGTGGCAGCTACCCGGCCCCGTTTTTAAGGGGTCTACGGGGAATATTTTGGCCGAGCGTTGTATAAACTTGGTCTTGTGTCGCACCCGATCGCGTGGGGTGATTAGTGAATATCTCACAGTTTCTACTCTATCTTCTATTACTATACGGATCACTCTTTCTTACTCTATCCTAAGGGCCACTGTTTGGCTGGCCATTAAGCGAAAAACGAAAAAAAAAAAGCCCGCCGTAGCAATATGACAAATAAATCGGCAGATATTCTAAGATCAATCAACGACATCTATCTGTCCAAATTAATTGAAATAACTGCTTTAGTTTATTCTCTTTCACCATACGGTCAGTTTTAGACCTACTGGATTGACAGGGTTTAATCGATTTCTATTTTTTCCTCAGATTAGGTCATTTACATTTGAAAAATACGGAAAAAAAAGTAAATAATAATGGAATTATTCATTTTGTTTTAATTAATTAGCATAATTTAATTTGTATGTTCTGCCAATATTTTTTTTTTCAGTAAGACATCAGCCATATTGTTTTGTTTACTGCGAAAACATAATAAGTCTCAAGAGTGGCTTGGACACCGCGGCTCAAGAAAAAACGACAATTAACAATGAGGTTGATTCTTGTCGATCACCCGCATCAAAACAGTATTTTAAAGAATTATGATAAAATACTTTGGAAATATAGCAGTTATTCTTGGAACTGATTGTCTCTGTAACATTCCACTTTTCAAAATAACCATTCATATTTAAGCCGCTGGCCTAGTACCAAGATAAATCAGGCGAATTATAATAATAATAATAAAAAGCAGGTAGGATATTAACTTTCAAGTAATCCCATATAATCTCTCTAAATCCATTGAAGCCTGTCAAGCACTATCCTTATTACTTTAGATGAGGGTAGCCGCTTTTCTTTTCTGTTTGTTTTTGTTTTTTTCCAGTCTATTGTTCGTGCCTGAATATGCATTGCAATGAATGAAATATTAGTCGGTAAAAACATAGTCAAAATTCGAAATCGCTGGGTGGTTTGTACCAGTGGCGAGGCGCCATTTTATTAGCCGTTTTATCTAATTCATACAACTTCGATTTTCTGATTCGATTGGCTACATGTTTTGGCACGACTCAGACAATTTAGTATTTAGTTTCACAACGCTTAAACCTAAGGGCTACTGTTTGACTGGCCATTAAGCGAAAAAAGAAAAGAAAAGCCCGCCCTAGCAATATGAGAAATAAACCAGCAGATATTCTATGATCAATCAACGACATTATTCTAAGCATCATTATTCGCCTTGTCTTTACCATCATCATTTTCATGATCAGTTCTATAACCGTTGAAGGTTGTAGGGTTGCTGCGCAGTTGAGCCCCTAACCAGCTGCTTCCACATATCATGGTTGAAAGCTAGATAACTATTCAAATCAAAAGTAGCGTGCCTTCAGTAAATATCAGGTCATCCCATAAGTTCTGTCCGAATTTTAACATTTTGTTGAAATGAACAAAATTTAAAGAGTATTTTATAATGTCTAATGAAGCTGAACATTATTTTTATGTTTAGATGCATTTAAACTGATCCAATTTCATTTCAGAGAACAATAAAATAAAAAAATGTTTGATTAAAACCCTGCTAACATGGAAGTACGCAAAAGAATCATTTTGAGGCACATAATGCTTTATGAGTTCAAGAAAGGAAACTCAGCAGCCGAAGCGGCTAGAAACATTCACTCAGTTTATGGAGAGGAATGTGTGAATGAAAGAACTTGCAGAAGATGGTTTGCAAAATTCAGAGGTGGAATTTCACCCTTGAAGATGAAGATCGAACCGGACGTCCAGTTGAGTTTGATGAAAAAAGCTTGAAGCAGCCCTTGAAGAAAATCCTGCTTTATCAGTTGAGGAATTGGCAGTGGTTCTCAGTTCAAACCATACAATTGTTCATCGTCATCTTCAACAACATGGAAAAGTTCCTAAACTTGGAAAATGGGTGCCTCATGAATTGTCTGAAAACAACTTCAAATCCCGTGTTGACATCTGCTCTTCTCTCCATCCTCGCCAACATGTTTCACCTTTTTTGGATAAACTTGTGACTGGCGATGAAAAATGGATCTTTTATTGAAATGTTAATCGTCGTAGACAGTGGCTTGGTAAAGGGGAAGGACCCCAGCCACAGCCGAGAAGGGAAATTCATGGGCAAAAGGTTCTTCTTTTAATCTGGTGGGATCGACAAGGAATAATACACTTTGAATTCTTACCACCTAATGCAACAATTAATGCTAAAATATACTATCAGCAATTACAGCGTTTGAACCAAGCTTTGAGGAAAAAAAGACCTGCTTTAGTGAATCGAAAAGAGGTAATGTTTCATCAGGACAATGCGCGACCCCTCACAGCAAGTATCACGTTACAAAAGATCGAAGAACTTGGTTGGGAGAAAATTCCTCATCCACCTTATTCTCCCGATCTTGCTCCTTCAGACTACCATTTGTTTCGTAGCTTACAGAATCATTTGGAAGAAACAGCTTTTGTAACACAAGAAGAGGTTAAAACTGACATTTGTGAGTTCTTCGAATCAAAGCCAAAAGAATTTTACAGTAATAGAATTAGTAAGCTTGTTAATAGATGGAAGGAAGTCATAGATAATCAGGGAAAATACATTGTTGATTGAATCTGTAATTAAATGTAACATTTGGTCACTTGTTTTCTTTATTCAAAATTCGGACAGAACTTATCGGATGACCTGATAGTTCTGGCGCTCTCCGAGTCGATGTCCTTCAAATGTAACGCTCGCTTTGGACACAGATACGTTAACTCCATCGCCTTGACCCTTATTTTTAGTCTGGTTGCATACGTAACTATGGAGCCTAGTTTACCCCCACTGTGCTAGATGACCATTGACTTTGTATTTTTTTAATCAATTCACCCCATAATAATCACGGGGGTTGCAGATTTAGATAGGCAGATGTAAAGGGCGATGTGGTCACAAAAATTGTCTGATATCCAAGACTGGGTTCTCCTGTTTGTGTGGCATAAGTTTTGTTGCCAGACATTGAGTCTCACAGTGGCTAACCGCTTGACCCAGGGCAGCACTACCTTCTCAGGGCACTTGATATAGGCCTCCGGGTTGAGTCTGAGGCCCACAGGCATAACGTCATCATCAGTAGTAATCTCCCCAAGCAACTTCGTAATTACCATTAGACTCATTCCGGATGCTCTGCACTGCCCTCAGATTGAAACCCAAACACTCGGAAATGTTCTTAATGGAGCTTCCGACAAGCAGCACAGAGGAGCGTTTCCAAATTGCTGGCGGAGTGTATTGGGTCAGGGAGTTCTTTTTTCTTAGAGACGGTGCCCAACTGACCCTACTATACTGTGTAGTCGACAAAATCAAAAACAAACAAGGCGCATGTGCGAAATTAAAAACATAAAATTGCGACAATTTACCCATCGCACCCTATATAATGTAATCATCTATCTATCTATCTATCTATCTATCTATCTATCTATCTATCTATCTATCTATCTATCTGTCTGTCTGTCTAGCTCCCCGTCTACAAATCTATCTATCTATCTATCTATCTATCTATCTATCTATCTATCTATCTAACTCATTCACATTTATCTATGTGTTGATATGTTCATATTTATCTATCCATCCAATTCATGCTATTTATATCCATGTCTCAACACACACGCACACACACACACACATATATATATATATATATATATATATATATATATATATATATATATATATATATATAGCCATTTTTAGTTTAATTTCTTTCGCCATACGGTCAGTTTTAGTCCCAATGGAGTGACAGGGTGTAACAGATTTCTTGTTATTTGCAGTGGTTGTGCAGTAATATGAATCTATTTTCGGGGTGTATGATGAAATTTGTTTCGCCTTGGAAAGTGTTGCTTCATTCGTGATTTCATCGGATTTTAATTACACTCAGGCACTATTGTCTCAATAGTCGATTAGTTGTCCTATGGCCATTGTCTGCGATATATTATTTTGAGGGACCTACTGAGTATCCGCCCAAGCAAACAGCCTTACTCAGAAACTAACGCCCAGACTTTACTTATATAGATATATGTGTCTCGAGTTTCAATCTCGCCCTGGTCGATTTCTCCGGATCTATCTATCTCTCTCTCGATATATATATATATATATATATATATATATATATGTGTGTGTGTGTGTGTGTGTGTGTGTGTGTGTGTGTGTGTGTGTGTGTGTTTTGATAGAGACACAGAAAACGGAGAGAATGAGATGAAAAGCCTTTGAGAAATAAAAAAAAGGCAGACAGACCGACTAAGAGATAGTTCTCTTTGTCTTCTAAGAATTGACGCGTGCATTGTCAATTCAAACAAAATCGAACGCCAGTACATCACCTTTATGAAACTACCCTCGGGCAACATTAAGAAGTTTCAATGCTATTAAGGGGGGGGAACTTGAAATGCGGCAATATAATGAAACATGACCAATATTTCCGATTGTTTCAAACTGAGCTGAATTAGCAATTATAAACTGTAAACTTTCAAAAGCCAACGAGAAACAGCCATCTAATTACATTACAGATAACGCAGACTTCATCTATTTTACTGGAGAGACAATAAATGGCGTATTTTTAACTCTAAATAATCTTAGCAAACTGCTGACCACTGAAAAATGGTGCCGTTACGATTAACGTGGCAAAGCATTTTTCATGGCGAGAAACAAAAAAGAAAAAAAAAATGCTTCTGACGAATTTTATTATATTGTTCTATTTTTGGTGAATAAGAAATAAACTTCGAGACGAGAGGACAAAGAAAGAATGAAGTGTTCTTTCTTTCTTCCTTTCGTATTATTTGCTTATTTATAATTTGTTAATTCTTTCTTTCTTGTCCATTATCTTTATGTGTAATCCTTTCATTCATTTTTGTTTCTTTTTCTTCCTTCCTTCCTTCCTTCCTTCCTTCCTTCCTTCCTTCCTTCCTTTCTTTCTTTCTTTCTTTCATTTATTCATTCATTTATTCATTCTGTCTTTCTTACCTTCAATTCCGATCACTTTCTTTCTTTCTTTCTTTTCTTCCAGTTCATTACTTTTTCTTTCTTTCTTTCTTTCTTGTTCAATTATCAGTATGTCTAATCCTTTCTTTCTTTTTTCTTTCATTCGTTCTTTCCTTCATTTCTTCATTCATTTTTTCGTTCATTCTTTCTTTCTTTCTATCTTTCTATTCCGATCATTTTCTTTCTTTCTTTCTTTCTTTCTTTCTTTCTTTCGTTCTTTCTTTCTTTCTTTCTTTCTTTCTATTCCAAACGTTTTCTTCTATCCTTCCTTCATTTCTCTCTTTGCTTTCTTTCCCTTTTTTCTTTATTTGCTCTTACTTCCTTCTTTAATTTCTTTCCTTATTGCTTTGTTACTGATGTGGGGCCAAAGTCGGGACCAAAGAAGGAAAACACGGAACACGGATTAGATGTAAGAAAGATATATTAACAACAGGTTACAGAGATAGTGTAAGCGGAGCTTACTATATGTTAGTGTCCAACACTGGTAGTCGTACGCGGCTCTCACTGTCTCTCTCTGTCTCTGTGTCTCTGTCACTAGAGTGTTGTGTCGCATACTTGATATAGATCTGGAAGAGTCTATTGTGTAAGTAGTTCCGGTCTCACAATAGTTACATTATCTCAAAGCCTATTCTTTTCTTTCTTTCTTTCTTTCTTTCTTTCTTTCTTCTAGTCCGATAATTTGCTATCTTTCTTTCACTTCAGTTCATTAGCTTTATTATTTCTTTCTATTCCAATCATTTTCTTTCTTTCTTTCTTTCTTTCTTTCTTTCTTTCTTTCTTTCTTTATCGTTCCATTATCCGCATGTCCACACCTCTCTCTCGTTTTTCTTTCATTCGTTCTTTCTTTCATTTATTCATTCATTCATTCGTTCGTTCTTTTTTTCTTTCTTTCTATTCTGATAATTTACATTCTTCCTTTTTTTCCAATCTTTCTGTTCCAATCGTTTCCTTCCTTCCTTCCTTCCTTCCTTCCTTCCTCCCTTCCTTCCTTCCTTCCTTCCTTCCTTGTTACATTGTCTTTATGTCCGATCTTTTCTTTCCTTCTTTCTTTCTTTCTTTCTTTCTTTCTTTCTTTCTTTCTTTCTTTCTTTCTATTCCTATAACTTTCTTTAGTTCTTTCTTTCACTTTAGTCCATTACTATTATTCTTTCTTTATTTCTCACTTTCTTTCTTTCTTTCTTCTTTCTTTCTTTCTTTCTTTCTTTCTTTCTTTCTTTCTTTCTTTCTATTTCTATAACTTTCTTTCTTTCCTTACTTCTTTCTTTCACTTCAGTCCATTACCATTATTCTTTCTTTATTTCTTAATTTCCTTTATCCTTACTTTCTATTACACCCCTTTTCTTTTTATCTTTCTTTATTCACCTTTTTTTTCCATTTCAGACTCTCTTCTTTCCATTCGCCTTCCTGTTTTCGTTATTTGCCACAAAATTCATCTAATCAACGCTTGGTTAGACTCAAATTAATTTATTCTTCTTTATTAGCTTCTTTCTTCTGCTTTCACTTTAAACGTCACTTTATAGAAACCGATCAGAAGAAACATCATCATTAGTAAGCACTGCCGAGACATCCTCAAATGCTTTTTTATCTCTTATTAACTTTCTAACTGTTGGATTTTCCCAGAGGTAACATGACAGCAAGACTTCCCAATGCTACAGCGCTGTCACAGGATATTCAACGTATTATACCGCGCAAAAGCATTTGAGAAGGTACAACACAAAGGGATATTTCTACTGCTAGGAAAACTTTATTTAGGAAAGATATTCGAATAATCAGAAAGATTTAATGGGAGCAAGCTTTCTACATAACGCTTCAAAATTCTTCCAATAGCTGTTCAGAATAGAAAATAGTTAAAAATTATTTGAAATTTGTACTAAAAGTTATCAGGTCATCCCTAACTCATGAGTTCTGTCCGAATTTTGAATAAAGAAAACAAGTGACCAAATGTTACATTTAATTACAGATTCAATCAACAATGTATTTTTCCTGATTATCTATGACTTCCTTCCATCTATTAACAAGCTTACTAATTCCATTACTGTAAAATTCTTTTGGCTTTGATTCGAAGAACTCACAAATGTCAGTTTTAACCTCTTCCTGTGTTACAAAAGCTGTTTCTTCCAAATGATTCTGTAAGCTACGAAACAAATGGTAGTCTGAAAGATTGAAAGAAGAACCTTTTGCCCATGAAGTTCCCTTCTTGGCTGTGGCTGGGGTCTTTCCCCTTTACCAAGCCACTGTCTACGACGCTTAACATTTCGATAAAGATCCATTTTCGTCGCCAGTCACAAGTCTATCCAAAAAGGTGAAACAAGTTGGCGAGAATGGAGAGAAGAGCAGATGTCAACACGGGATTTGAAGTTGTTTTCAGACAATTCATGAGGCACCCATTTTCCAAGTTTAGGAGCTTTTCCAAGTTGTTGAAGATGACGATAAAATGTGGTATGGTTTGAACTGAGAACCACTGCCAATTCCTCAATTGATAAAGCAGGATTTTCTTTAAGGGCTGCTTCAAGAAGCTTTTCATCAAACTCAACTGGACGTCCGGTTCGATCTTCATCTTCAAGGGTGAAATCTCCACCTCTGAATTTTGCAAACCATCTTCTGCAAGTTCTTTCATTCACACATTCCTCTCCATAAACTGAGTGAATGTTTCTAGCCGCTTCGGCTGCTGAGTTTCCTTTCTTGAACTCATAAAGCATTATGTGCCTCAAATGATTCTTGCGTACTTCCATGTTAGCAGGGTTTTAATCAAACATTTTTTTTATTTTATTGTTCTCTGAAATGAAATTGGATCAGTTTAAATGCATCTAAACATAAGAATAATGTTCAGCTCCATTAGGCATTATAAAATACTTTTTAAATTTCGTTCATTTTAACAAAAAGTTAAAATTCGGACGGAACTTATGGGATGACCTGATATATCAGAATTTATTATTAGTGGACACACTCTTAGGAAATTTTTTTATTTAACTTTCATTTGAAACTGTACTAGAAGTTATACCAGGATTTATTATTAGTGGACACGATATTAAGAACGTTAGATAAGTAGATAATTGTTCGATGAACTCTCCTCTATGGTACCTAGATTTTAATAATTTATGCAAAGTACTAGATTGGCAACAAGTTTTCATCCATTTACGGTTGAATTGGCTAGATATAACCATACGTTCTATGCTAAGAGTCTCTTTTCTTGCACTTCAGACTTGTGCATCCCTCTTCCGGTTCCATGATTTGCAGCTAATTTTCATCTTCAAAAATTGAAATGCAGAATCAATCGTTATCTACTGTTTTCCTCATTCCTCTTCTATTATTCTCTCTCCATGTTGTGGTGTCCTCCCTCTAAAGAGATTATCGGACTTTTCCGCCTACTATAAGATTAGTAGGAGAGAAGGCCTTGGGGGATCAGACGATCAGACTGATCGTAACTGTCGAACTCTCTGCCTGGAACCCGGACGAGGCTTTGCCGCAGGGCAACATTTCATCTGGGGAGGTTTATGCGGTTTCTAAGGGAATATTTTTGACCGAGCCTACGGGCTCGGAGAACCCACGATAAACTCGGCCTTGTGCCACATACATCCCTCGTAGTAGGGGGGTGTTAAATATTAACAGTCGACCTTATTGTTAATCTGTCGAAGTCTCTACCTTGAGCGTAGAGGAACATGGACAAGGCTTTGCCGAAGGGCAAAGTTTCGTCCGGACATATAGAAAGGCCTTGAACCTGTTTATGCGGGTTCTAAGGGAATATTTTTGGCTGAGCCTATGCTGGGTCAACCGTCACACACTCACTTTCTGGCATAAAAGACGTGACTAATGCTGTACAAGCGATTGATGCCCAGTAAGAATCGTACGTAATACAGTCGTTTTGGACGGCGGGACTAATTTTCAGGTCTGTGTGTATTGTTGCTGATATTATTCGAGTCACGATATTGTCACTGATAACTAAAAGAAAAAGTAAAAAAGAAAATAAAAAAAAATATTAATTAAAATGAATGAAAAAAAAAAACGAAAATTTCTATAAATACTCTATCTGTTTTCTGTTTCCTGTGACGTCACTTCCGTCTAAAGATCTAGATTCTTTCATATGGCGCACTTATGAATTGACGAATTCCATACAATAAAGTTGTTTAAATCCATGGCTGTCAGTCGGCCAATTCACGGTAGTCTGTCCGCGCTATACAGCCGGTCAGATTAATTTAACATCCAGGGTGGTTCGCGCCTTTTGTTTTCTTTTTGTCTTTACCTGGAACTTTTGTATCAATTGAAAAAAAAATGTCCTTTGGCGATAGATTTTCTTTTTTTCCCCTAGAATAAAGATACAATTATATCAACCGATATTGTCTATTTCTGCATGTGAATAAAAAAAAACGTATATACTTCATTCCAATTTCATTTTAGTTGCGTTGATTAATAATTATATCAATAATACTGTATATTCTCCCGTTTCGTTCTATTCAATCAATGCCACACACACACACACACACACACACACACACACACAAATGTATATTTGTGCGTGTCGGTGTTTATGTATGTGTGTGTGAGTAAGGACACTATTATGTGTTAATATGCTGTAAGAACACGAGAAAAATGAATATAAAAACTTACAAAAAACCTTGTCCATCGTAGTCAACGAAACATTCATAAATATATATATATATATATATATATATATATATATATATATATATATATATATTTGTTTAAAGACATTTAGCTGAATATTACACAGTCACACTCTAAAAGTACTGTAGTCAATGTATATCAAGTATTGCAAACCTTCTTTTAGTAAACAGCGTGATAGTTTGCTGGGGCTTGCTGGAATTGGTTTTAGTACCCCCCTCTCTCCCCTCTCATCAATCATTCGCAAATTTAAATTTATTGTATTTTATCTTTTGTACTTCCGATTAGAAAAAAAAAACCTTGAGGAGCGGGAGGAAAACCTGTTTTTTCCTCTTTCATGTTTTATTATATAGATATGTGACGTCATTTGTTTACATTTGGATACGCCATGAGCAGATATGAATGTACGTGAGAGAATCATGGAAAATTGAAGTTTAAAAACTACCTGGCTAACCGAACGACCCTCTGTGACCAAATCGGTTAAAGGCACGTCAAGCTAAATGATGGTTGCGTATGGGATAGAGGTTCGATTCCGGTCGGAGAACGAATATTTTCTATGAAAATTTCTCCGATATTCAGGCCAGTAAATGTTGTTTATTATAAACAAAGTATTTACTTAACTATTTGTATCTATAAAAAGAATGTATAAACATAAAAATGCCTTAAAATATTTGTCAGACTTTGTCCATTTCATTATATTATATATATATATATATATATATATATATATATATATAAATTGTAGATCTCCCAGCGTCTCTCGTTCGTGCGCATGTGTAGTCTCAACAACGTAAACAAACCTAGTCGGATGAAATTCTAACGGTTAAAATGCATCACAACAAATTTTCCAATTTGTGATATAGAGGATGTATGAAAAAATAATTTTACAAAATATGGGGGCGGCTTTCTGACCCCGAAACAAATTAAAATATCTGTATAAATATATCCGAAAGGCCATCGTTGTACCTCAACATAACAACGATTGAGCTCAGCTGTAAATTGGTGAGATCTTGACGCCAGTCGAGTACAGCGCTTAAATTAAAAAAATATCTAGGTACCACAACGAAGAGCTCATCTGAACAATTACTATGAATGTATTCAAAGAAAAGACAGAGAGGCGACCTTGCGGCAGTGGAATGTAACTGAGGCCGAGCTGCCGGATCAAGACCGGCAATGTTGCTGATACTTCTTTGTATCTTATCAAGGAGCTCAAGGAAAATAGAAAGGGCACCGGACCATATATTGCAGCAATAGTCTAAGCATGGACGAACGGTAGACATAGATATGTAAGATTGATTTCGGAGAGAAAATTTGTCTCACACGACACAATGAAACAACATTCGTAGCATCAGACATAGCAGTGGATTCAATATAAATTTTCCACTTCATATCAATTTAAAACATTAGCCCGAGAAGGCGCAACAAGTGACTTTTGTGGAGGTTAGCATCAGCCATACTGATGGAAGGCAGAGAGGAGACTCTTAATGGATAGAGGTTATTCAGATTATATATTTGAAAGGAGCAGATTTGAGAAATTCTAAGAACATACATGACATCACTCCACTCAGAGATGACGCCATTGTTAATCGAAATTTTTGTTTCTAAACATGTTTCGTT